TGGAGCATGGTGGACTCTTGTTCTTTGGAGGTTTTTAAACAGAGGCTGGATGGCCATCTGTCAGGAGTCCTTTGATTGTGTATTCCTGCATGGCAGTGGGCTGGATTGGATGGCCTTCAGGGTCTCTTCCAACTCTATGATTCCATGACATTTTAAAAATCAACATATATACACACAGAGTAGTATTCATTGTTGTATACATCCCAAGAACACCACATTGCATTTGAAATTTGGTAAAAGAAAGTGGCCAGCCCTTGATTAGGCATCAAGGTGTTACTTTATTTGGTATGTATTAGTAACATTTCTATACCACTTTTACTTCCTTTAGCTCAAGGTGGGAAACAGATCTCCCACTTCTTTGTTCTCACAATAACCCTGTGAGGAAAGTCAGGCTCAAGGTCACCTGGAGAGTTTTGTGACTCAGTAGGGGACTCAAATGTGGATTTCTTAAGTTCTAGTCCAACACTTAACCATTCCACCACACTGGCTTTAGCTCAGATTCACCAAGTAGAACTCAAGGTATAAAATGTGAAGGAAATTCTCTGGAGGTTACGGATCTGGTCCAGCAAAGTGGCATCCCTCAGGAAGGTGGCAAAGTTCTTCAGCCGCAGAATGGTGGATTGGAGCTCCCCCTCTCTATCCTTGGCATACTCCCGCTCCTGGGAAAGGGTGTCGGCCTGCCAGTTCTGGGCTCAGAGCTGGAAGTTGAAGCGAGCAAAAAATATCGCTTCTGCTGCTGGGAGAGCTTCCATACCATCTGCAAGTGCTCCAACTTCCAGGGGTCCATGTGCACCTGGACCAGGTGACCCACCCCTTCAAGGAGATGCCACCAGGTCTTGAAGGCTGCCTTGATTACCAACAGTTCCTTCTCCCAGATGGTGTAGTTCTGCTCCAGAGGCGTGAGCTGCTGGGAGTAAAAAGCACAAAGCAACAGATGCAACTTGGGCCCTGTCGGCTGGAGCAGCACAGCCAGATGGCAATGTCCAAGGCATCCATCCCAATGACAAAGGGCATTCGCAGGTCCGGTTGCTGCAGGATCAGAGCCGAAGTGAAGCATGCCTTCAGGACATCAAAGCACCACTGCACTGCTGCCATCCACTGAAAGTGTGCCTTCCCTCGCAACAGTTGGAAGATGGGAGCCACTAGTGTTGTGTAGTCCTCGATGAACTTCAGGTACAAGTTTGCAAACCCTAGAAACCTCTGGACATCCCTCTTGCTGCAAGGGGGTTGCTAAGACAGCACCACCTCCACCTTAGGGGTGTCCATGGCCACAGCTTGGGCAGAGACACAATAGCCTAAGAAGGCCACCTCTCAGAGGTCAAAAGCCCAATTCTCGAGCTTGGCATAGAGCTGGTGATCCTGGAGCTTCTGGAGAACAGCATGGACATGGGCATCATGGGCTGTGTGGTTGGGGGAGTAAATCAAACAAATAATCCAAATAAGTGATGTGAAAGTGGTCCAAATAGTCCCGGAAAACGTCATTTACAAAATGTTGAAAGACGACTGGGGCATTACACAGTCCAAAGGGCATTATGGTATACTCATAATGTCCATACCATGTTTGGAATGCTGTCTTCCACTTGTCTCCTGCCCAAATCCTTATAAAGTTGTAGGCCCCCCAGAGGTCCAGCAACTCTGGGATCAAAGGCAATGGATACCAATTCCAGATGGTGATCTGGTTGAATCCTTGGTAGTCATTGCAGAGGTGCAGCTCCCTGCACTTCTTGAACACAAACAAGATGGGTGCACCAGCTGGAGACTTGGAGGAACAGATGAACCCCTTCTGGAGATTCTTCTCCAGAAAATCCCTCAGAGTCACCAGCTCAGGCTCTGAGAGGGAGTAGAGGCGTCCCGTTGGAATAGGGCCCCCTGACACCAGGTCAATGACACAGTCATATGGTCAGTGTGGTAGTAGCTGGTCCACCTGCTTCTTGTTGAACATGTTGGCAAAGTCCTGGTATTTTGCTAGCAACTTTACCGGACAGTCCTGGGCCTCCGCTGCTACTGCCGCTGGGATCCGCTTTGGCCAACAATGTTTCTGGCAGTACTCCAAGGTGAACAGGATTTCCCGATGGGCCCAAGAGGTGTGAGGGTCATGCTTCAAAAACCATGGCATCCCCAAGACCAAGAGGAAGTGAGGTACAGTGGCTAGCAAAAACTGTATCCCCTCCATGTGGCCCTGGATCTCGAGGTGAAGCACGGGCATCTGGTGCATTACAGGATCAGCCTGAAGGAGCCATCCGTCAATGGTCTCCACTGGTCTGGGCTTAGTCAGGGCCTCCAAAGGGATGTGGTGGTGCTTCGCAAAGCCCAAGTCCATAAAATTGTTTGAGGCCCTCAAGTCTATCATGGCTCCTATGGGAAAGAGCTCTGTGGCGGGGAGCCTGAGGTTGGCAGCCACCAGCAAAGGGTCCTTTCAGAGAGCCAAACTGGAGGAAGCAGGTTCAGGAGAATCTCCCAGGTGGTGAACCTGCTCTACACCTGGGGGACCTGTTTCTCTGCAGCGTGGGCCAGTGTCCCTTGGCAGGACATTCTCAGGCAAAATGTCCCTGAAGTCAGCAGAACAGGCAGAGGCCCTCCTTCCTCCTGTGTTTCTTCACACCGGTGAGCCGAAACCAAGCCCCTCCCAGCTGCGTAAGTTCCTCTCTGGGCTGGGAAGGAGTAGCCACAGGTGGAGCGGCAGGAGCTGGTCAAGCAGGACTTGGAAGCAGTGGGAGAGTGCTCTGTTGAGTCTGTCTGCGTGCTGAGAGGTGACAGTCTAGTTGAGTAGCCTGCACGATCAACAAGTCCAGAGAAGCAGGGGCCTCAAAGCACACCAACTCATCCAGCACCAGGTCCGACATACCATAATGGAATGTGGAGTACTCTGCTAGGGTCCCCTTGCCTTGCTGGAGAGTCCAGTTTTGGCTCTCTCCCATCTCGACCTTTACAGGATCCCCCCAGGTGGCTCGCATTTCTGCTATAAAGCCCTGCAAGCTGTCGAGGAGGGCATTATCCTGGTTCAGGTAGGGGTATCCCATTTGCTGGCAGGTCCAGAGAGCAGGCTAATCATAAAAGCCACCTTATGGGAGTCATCAGGAAAGTCGTCCCTTCAAAGCATAAAATGCAGCTTGCAACTGTCCAGCATAGTCCTGTCTCCCTGGAACTTATCTGGAAGGGAAGCAAAGTATTTCCAGTGTTGTTCGGGAGCTGGAAGGTTAATTTGTACCTGGAGTGTAGCCACACTCTGAGTGAATTGCTGCACCTGGATAGAAAGATGCAAATTCATTTACAACAGCTCATCCAAGGCTTGTTTCCCTTCCATTATGCTCTTACCAGCCTAATTAAGTGAAGGCCAGAGATTATTCTGTCCAGGAAAGCTGCCAAGAGGGCTGATAGCAGCTTCTTGTGAGGGTGGAAGGCAAACAAAAGTCTTTTGCTAATGCAAAGCAAGAAAGCAAAGGCCCATATTACCAATCCAAGGGTCCAGCCAGCAAATGGTCAAGCAGTCCAAAGATCTAGGATTCCAGAGAGGCAGAGTAGCAAGGCAGTCTGAAGGTCAAGGGTTCCAGAATTTCAAGATAAGTCCACAGTCTGAGAGTCAAGGTTTCAGGCCAAGGAACAAGGAGAGACAGAGGCTTTTCATAAAATCATAGAGTTGGAAGCTCAGATAATCTCTGGCACTGAGGCAGCCCTTCTGCACCTGCTTAAATTACCAAGCTGCAGGAGCTCACCTGAGGCTGATTGCTCCGGTGTTTTTCATAAAGTATCCTTGAACAGCAAAGGCTCACCCTTTCTGCTTGATGCTGGCTGAAGGTAGGCACAGTCCCTTGATCCTTCTCCATGTCAGAAGGTCTGCTGCTGGGCGTCTTGGCTGCGGAGCCTCCTAGGAGACCCTAGGCTCTGCTGGAGCTGGCAAAGCAGAACTCCACAGCTGCAGGCTCAGATCCAAGAGGAATTTCTGTCTTGTCTTCTGAGTCCTCCTCCAGGCAGATTAGACAAGTCTGGAACTGTCACACTTTTTCTTGAAGCTGAGGTAAGCCAGTTTTCCTGAATGGCACCCACAATCCTACATATATTGTTCTGCCTATTTCTTGAGTCAGTGAGGTTTTCCATGCAGATCTCTTGCTCTGTTCACTACTGTGCAATTTAACTCTGTGGAAAGTGGAGAATGCTAGATCCAGTTTAATTGTAGACTGTTTTTTGTTGCTTTGGACGTGGGCACTTATAAAGTACTTCCTTCTCCCTCAGGTGTTTCAAGACAAATAATTCAGAATTAGAATCAATGTTAGGCATATCTATGGATTTCATCTTTAATGAATTTCTTATTTTACTGACAAGTTAATTTCCATCTACAGTCATATCCATTTGAAAACATGGCACACTTTGCTCCCTGCCCCCGCCACCAAAAATAAGTTAGTCCAAATACTGAATGCATTTTTGCATGAATATTTATGCACTTTTTTTTAGTGTGTCATGTTTTGGGAGTATCTCATACCTACAAGGCATTCCCCCCCATTTTCTCCCCTCATACATGCATTTTGTCAACACTTTTTCCTAACACTATACATGCATTTTTGGCACTTTTTTTATTTGTGAGTAAGGTTGCAAAATTGTGGAAACAGAGTACTTTGGTGCACAAGTGACTTAGATGCACCAAATATATATAATATAATATATCTTATATAATATATATTATATATAATATAATATATCTTATAGAATTTTTTCAGCAGATTGAAAACTGATAAGTTTGTACAAAAATTTGGACTAAATGAATTTCTCCTATATCTCTATTAAGAATCACTTTTTCCACTTAAGACAAGATCATTGGCTTCTTGGTGGCAGATGTTATTCTAATGTGTTTTGCTGTTGTTGTGTGCCTTCAAGTTGTTTCTGACTTATGGCAACCCTGAGGCAACTCTATCATGGAATTTTCTTGTCAAGATTTGTTCAGAGGAGGCTTGTCTTTGCCTTCCTCTGAGGCTGAGAGCATGCCCAAAGTCACCCAGTGGGTTTCATGACTGAACTGGGAATTAAACCCTGGTCTTCAGAGTCAAAGTCCAACACTCAAACCACTACATCATGCTGGCTCTCATATTCTAATGTGTACTTGGACACATTTTGTGCAAATAGGAAAAGAAAATAGTAAGAAATAGTTTTTCTGTGCTGTTGGCAAAATGAGTTTTAATCATGAAAAAGGTTATTTCTTAAAACAAATGGATGACAAAAAAGATAAAAAAATAGAAAAATTAAAAGACATTAGTAGTCTTTTTTCAGTCTTTAAAAGAACTTTTTAAAAAGTTATATATTGTTGTGACCATCTACCTGACTGCTTCATCTATGACTAAGGAGGACATAGGTATGAAGTAATATGAGTAGCTGTGTTGCTGTGGGCACTGTCAACTGCATTTAGCATGCCTTATGCACTGTTACTACAAGATTCACTAGCCCTTTCTGGGGCCCTTTCACATTACACAATTATGATTCTGCTTTAAGTGCAATGGAAATAGCCTAAGCAATCTTGGGAGTTGCAGTTTATGAAGGGGTATTTAGATTTTTCATCTGGGAAGTGCCTCAATAAAGCTTGATGGTGTCATTTCTGAAACATAGTTGTCCTCCGTATCCCTGGATTCTTTATCCATGGATTCAAGTATTCATGCCTTGAAAATATTCAGAAGATATATAAATTCCAAAAAGCAAACTTTGATTTTACCATTTTACATAAGGGACACCATTTTACTATGCCATTGTATTTGATGGGACTTGAGCATCCGCAGATTTTGTATCTGTGGGGAATCCTGGAACCAAATCCCAGTGGATAACAAGGACCCACTGTATAAATCCCAGAATGGCAGGGGATTAGTGACTGGGGGATTTTAGGAGTGATAATCCAAAATGACAATTTCCTAACTCTATCATGATGGCCAGGTTTCATAGGAATTATTTGCTAAAAACATCTGGAGGGCTATGGTTGCCCACCCCTGTTCTAACAGTTACAGGCCATGCAGGAACAAACAAATGGAGGACCATTTTTGGCAGCATCTCTGCCTTGGCCTTGAGCAGTAGACCAGGCCAGAGAAGTACTCTAGTGTTCTTGCCTTCAAAAATACACTGTATGGGGGTTTTGTTTGTCTAACTCACCAACTTTTGAGTCTTGAGTAAATCTAGTATGAGGAAGTGGAGATGTTATACTTAGAATTGGCGCCAATTGCCCTGGCTATTTATTACTGTCTTCTAGAGTTCAGCCAGGTTAGGCAAAGAACAAGGGAAAGGTCATCTTGTGTTTATCGGAGTCTTTTGAAGACCAGAACAGACATTTATTCTCCTCCCCTTTATTTCTTTAATGGGTCTGTGTATAAACAACTTTTAAAACATCCCTTCTTAAAGCTGAGGTTTATTTGATGATAGGAAGAGCCAGTGTTGACTCATGAGAAAGTAAACAAGGTTGAGTCAACAGATAGGTACACTGTGCTAACTCTTCTGTTGTAACTACATGCAAAGGGGCTCTTCCATAATATTCTTTTTTATGGCAAACTACCAGAATTTTGGAAATGCTACTAAAATGCTCAAAGGAACTACAGCCAAACCCAAAAATCCTCATTTGTTGAACCAAGATGGCATCAAGAAGGTCTCCAGCCTGCCCACTTGGATGGAGTTTTAGAGATCTTCATGGATACATAAAGTGTCATTCTATTTATATTTCTGGGGTAGGGAACTGAGGCCCTTCAGAAACCATTGGACTACATCAGGGCTAACCAGCATAGTTAATTGTGGGATTCGTAGTTACATATCTGGATGGATATACCATCCCAGGCCTGTATCATTTGTCCTAAATGAGACATGAGAGGCTTAGAGATCCAGACCTTTTGTATTTCAGTTCCCAGACACCCCAACCAACATGATAAATACCACATAATTATGGGGAGTGGTTGTCTAAACTTGGTGCTATTCAAAGTGGTGGCCCTTAGACCAGTGTTGATCGCTGGGCCATTGACTGACTTCCTGACAATTTTCAGGAAAGAAAGAAACAATTGTACATAGCCAATGGACACAAATATGGTGCTGGTCCCTGGCACATTGGAGTATAGGGGTGGCTGGTCCTCAGAAACACTCATTTAAATCATCTGGAGGGCCCCCAAAAAATGAATCTAGCCTAGGCTGAAGAATTTGTCATCATATCTCAGCAGCACATAGTCCTGGTGATCATCATGGTCACCTGAGATGGCACCATGGCTGAATACCAATCCTTCACAGTGTATTATTTCCAGTACAGGAGATAACAGGATTTCAACTAAACAAGATCAAAAACCCAAACTCACTTAAGAGAGACCAGACATAAAGGGTGATTAATCTAAAAGTCAGACAATACTGAACATGCCGAAAACGTAAGATTAAGGAGTACAAAAACTACTAGACATACTCATAAGCAATTAGTAGTTCAAGCAACATGCAAACGAGTTGCTCCTTAAATAGTCAGAATGGGCATGGATGCCAATGTAGGACTCAAGGGTTTGAAGACTCACACCCACACATTTGATTAGCATGGCAGTTGTTTGACCCATTAAGACATTTCACCTTAAAAGTACCTTGTCACAGAATAAGTGCTTCTACCATGTGGAGCAAGCAAGGACAGTGAAGTAAAAAGAGGGAAAGCACCACCCCCCATTTTTAGGCAATTCCCATTTTGTAAATGCTTATGGATGGTTTCCAAGCTACATTTGCCACTTAAATCATTAAGCTCAGCAGGCAGTGTAGTGGATTCAGTGATCCTTCCTTGATATAGTTAATTGCTTCCTAGAACACAGCTTGTGCCTCTGGCTCATCATGTGTATATTTTTAAGTGTTTTCACGATTAGTCAGTCAGAAATCTTCTCCCCCTACATTTCATGCTCTGTAGGATCACTCAGACGTTACTGCTTTCCCTACTTTCAGTGCCAAACACTGTACCTCATTTGCACACTCTGGATGCCATCCCACATTCCTCTTCTTTATTTGGCACTGAAGGTGTCTAACAGTAATAACATTCAAATGAAAAATGAACATAGCTCTGCCAAAGAAACAGATCATAAGCAGACTTAAAAACGCACCAGTAAAAAAGAAATTACAACACCCAACCAGATGAATACCTCCATCAGCATCCCAGTTTATATGTCAAAGTCCTATTAAAAAAAAAAAAAAGCACAGTCTTTGCCTGTCACTGGAGGGGGCACAGAGTGGGAGCTAGCCTTTCCATCCCTGGAAAGAATATTTTTGTTAGCTTTTATTGCCCATTTGAAAAGGGGGGGGGGAGTTCCAAGCACTTGGGAAGCCCCCTTGAGAAAAACCAAACTGCCATGAGATTATTTTCCCTTCAGGAAGTATTTCAGGGCTTTTTATCTGTGCACAAATAAATGCAATTTTTCTGCACACATGTACCAACAATGGCAGAGGGGCTCAAAAGCATTTTAAGTGCCATGTGTGAACTCTGCCTCATATTAGATGAGTGTTTGGCACAAGACAGTTGAATCTCAGCCAGGACATGATTTAGTAATGGCAAATGCACTGTCAAAAGCACATGCTCCACTTGTCGGCATTTAGTGCAGACATGTGGAACAAGCAGTAACAATTCATGTGTACATGATAGAAGCATTATGTGCTTCATCTCCCAAGACAAAAAAGTACAAAAAGCTACAAGCACCAAGACAAGATATAAGTGGTGATCTGTCTGCCCAGCAAACCTGTCTCTCACAGTTTTGTTTCTTCATGATTTATTTTGATCTGGTCCCTTGTTTCTTCATGATTTATTTTGATCTGGTCCCTTGTTGCCTCCCATTATAAGTTGGATTGTTCTTTGTGTGCATTGTGTGGCTTGATCTTTGTGTGTCTTTGTGTGCATTTGTAGTAGATAGTAAAGCTGTGCTCACAGTTTGGACAAAGCCTGACTTGCTTTCGCCCAGAATCAGAGCATGCTGCGGAGATTCTGTTCCAGACTAGATTGCTCTGTCTGAAGCAAACCAGCCCTCAGGAATAACAAATGTCTCCCCACAACAGGAAAAAGGCCTCCAAAAGTGTCCCTCTACTTCCAATGCAGAATGTGTTACCTACAATATGGTGGTGTCGAATGGGGGGGGGGAGTTGAAGGGGAGTTGAGTGATGACCTTAGGTTCCAATTAATGGTCAAGTTCAATTGCAGGATTTGGGAGGGAGAGAACTGTGTGGGATTTAATTGTTATTTCCTTGTTTTTCTACATGGTAGTTTATACATTTTGTTGTAATGAGTATTTTGGGTGGTGTATTATATTTGTTTCTTGTAGGAATGAAGAAAGAATTTTTTTAAAATTATTTTAAAATAATTTGAATTAACTTTTCTGGAGGTCCTTCTTTATAGACTTAATAAATTTGTTTCACCAGTCTGATAGGAGTGTATGTGTTTCTAAGATTTCCTGCCCCTTCTTCTTTCTCATTCAGTTTACACTGCCCAATCCAATTCAGTACAAGTTAATTTACACAGGAGAGGGTCACAGTTTTTCTTCCTATTCTTTTATTTATTTTTGGCTTATTCTACAATTTGGGTGAACAAATAACCAGCTAATAGAACTGGGAAAGAGAGATAGATTGTTAACTTTCCAGGCATTTAGTGAAGGGAAATATATGTTTGTGAAGTTGAAGTTTTTCATGGCCAGCATCCATAGTTTTTTGTGGGTTTTCCGGGCTGTGTGGCCATGTTCTATAAGAGTTTCTTTCTGACGTTTCACCAGCAACTGTGGCTGGCATCTTCAGAGAATACTGTAATAGAAGAGAGTGGGTCTATATATACTGTGAGACCCTGGGTAGGGTGGAGTGATTCCCATGTAAACTGTGTATTGTTCTTTTTTGTGCATTTTTCAGGATGTGTGGCTATGTTCTAGAAGAGTTTCTTTCTGATGTTTTGCCAGCATCTGTGGCTGGCATCTTCAGAGATGCCAGCCACAGATGCTGGCAAAAAGTCAAAGAAATTCTTCTAGAACATAGACACGCAAACCAAAAAACCCACAAAAAACTGTGTATTGTGTATTGTTCTGTTGTTGATGGCAGGACCTCAGGGTGGGAGGATATGCGAATGAGGATTATT